TATATCAATTTTAGATGAAAATTTTAATATACCATACATAACTATATAAAAATGATCTACATGCCCCCTACCCTTAACGGTTTCTTTATGGTATAAAATTTTATTGCTTTTGCAGGCTTATCTTTAATGGTTGATGATGAGACTAGGATAAAAGAGTATGCTAATTAATATGTCATAATGACAATTTGAAATTAGAATAAGAGGATATGTTATAGCAGAGGCAGTGACCGATCCAACAGGAGGAACCGTTAATGTTATACCTGGTAAAGGATTATATCCATAACATATGTATTCGAGTAAGATCGAAATAAATAATTTTAATATTGATTAACTAATTATGTGAGGTATTAGTGTATAACATTGATGGTTTCTTTTGTTGCCCGATTCAAAATGAATCCCTCTCACCTGTAATTAATTACAAGTTATTTATGTTATATTTGATTGTGATGAATATAATCCCTCACCAGTTTTAATATGTGTGTAATGTTAATGTATCTTCTGTTGGAATATATACTAATTAATATCTCATGATGATTGAAATTTTTATATACATGAATTGATTAAGATTACGCCTCAATGTCCCTTGCGAAGAATATTAAAAAAATTAAAAAATAAAAATAATAAATAAATGTAGTTATAATTTGTTTTGATTACGAATTATTGAATCATGAATTTAATTTTATATCAATTCCATGATTATAAAAATGGACTTATAAAATATGAAGTAAATTTATGAGAAATGGCATGTATGTGAAAATCTGATGTATTCTCCAGTATATTATGTAATTACTGAAAGATGTAAAATCCATGAGAAATTCTAATCGCGTGCGAAATACATAAATGTATATTTTATAATTTTATATTAAATAATAAAAAAACTTATGTATGCGCTTTATTACAAATTAATGAATAAATACATTATCATTATCATAAATAATTATAGTTAATTAATAATTTCATATAATGTAATATGTTAATGTTGCAAAACAAATAAAAAGAGCTAATGGATTTTTTCATGTTATTAATAGATTACACTTTATGATGCCTTGCTGTGTTGCTACAATCATAAAAATAAATCAAGTTCATTAGACAGACAAGGAAGAGTCAAAATTAACTATTGTATAGGCAATCAGTATATATCTGATTGAAAGTAAAGATCAAGAAAAAGAAATTGTTCTTTTTGTCCTGATAAATGAAGAAGAAAGAGATTCTAATACTCAATCAGTTTTTATAAAAAATGAATATTATAGTATATATGGAAATGTCATACCTGGAACTTATAATAACAAATTAAGACTAAAAAGTGAGTGCAGGTATATTTAGATAAAATATAATAATAATTATTAATGTTTGACAAATTTAGATGACAGTTACTTCTTCAACCTATTTAATAATCAGAAGAGATCTTGGCTCAAATAGATGTTCATTAAAAACTTTATTAGTTGATGTTGAACAAAATATATCAAAAGAAGTTAATGATGAAAATGTAATATTCAAAATATTGGTAAATAATTATGCTGCTCAGCATTGTAATTTTGTCATTAAAATTGCATTTTCATATAATAACAACTGATTTAAGTATTTAATAAACTCAATTCATCAAAATGAATCATTATCTTTTATTATAGGGTATTTGGAAATTATAAATAATGATTTATATGTTTATGCTACTAATATCTTTCTTGTTGATATAAATTTTATAACTAAAAAAAGAGGTTTGGTTTAAATGATTCTCAAACTATGTTTGAAATATATAAATCTGTTTGATCAAAACACTTAAGCACACACCAAAGTACTAATAAAGGTTCATCTGAAAAAACTTCAATTAAAACAAATAAATATATGATTAAACTTAACTACTAAAAATTCTCATTTCTCAAAATATGAAAGAATAAAAAATGTAAAAGATGATTTTCTTTATAAACAAAATACTAAATATATTAAAACATATACAAGTAAAAGTAATAAATATGATAGTGATATTGATATTATTGATGAAAGCAAATATGTTAATCATGATAAGGTAGATAAAAATAAAGATAATATAATCTGTAATACATAATATGAGAAGTTAAACTGAAATGGTTAAGAATATAAATGAGAAAAAATAAAATATATAAATTTAGTTTATTTGTTTAAAAAATTAAATTTTATATTATGATAAATTTGTAATTAAGATATATATATATTAAAATATCTAAAATATAAATAAAACAAAAATTTGTAATAAATTTAATATCAATAGAACCAGTACAATAATTAATACAAGTTGACTTTGAATATAATTAATAATATATAAAAAATAAAAAGTATCTTATTACCAATAATAATTAAAACTTGTGTCAAAAAATCAAAATGATCATAATTATTATATTAAATTAGTAATTATATTCCTACCAATAAAATATGATTGCCAAGTAAAAAATCCTTATATATATATTTTCATTATTATTTTAAAAGAGTTATTAAAATATAAAAATTAATACATCTATAAACTAACTAAATTATCTAAAATTAATACCTAGAATAATATCATATATTAATTAATAATATAACTACAAAAAAGTACCTACACTATAATATTATAACTTGCAATTAATTCAAAATATATGTATTAATTAATAATTTCAGAAATTAAAATAAGCATGATATAATAAAATTATTCTTAAAATTAAATTATAAATTTAATATACTAAGGTACCAAGAAATGAAAGCAGCAATAAAAAACTATTAAACAAAAATAGAATTTTGAATTTGTTATTTTGAAACATATTATTCTTTCTTCAAAACATCTACTATAAAATTCTTTTATAATTAAATTGTAAGAATATATAATAGTATATTAGAATATAAGAAAGATAGCTATTATAAAAAATTCAGAATGATAATATTTAATTAAAAGTTTAGTATTTATTGATATATAATAATATCACTAAACTGTAACAGTGAGATAAATCTATAATACAAAATATTTAAAAATATTTTTGCAGTCATAACAATTATATTGTAATTTTCAAAATTATTTTTCTAGTACTAGTCATTTTCACTCAATGATTAATTCTTATTTCATTACAAAAATAATTACAGTCTGCTTTGATTATATTGGTTTATTAGAAAATAAAATAATAAGATATATCAAAGTTTGATCTTTAAAAATAATAAATATTTTTCTTCTTTTTTCTTTAAAACAATTATGAATATTATTTCTTTATTTATAATACCATCTTCAAAATGCTTATATAAAATTACTATATTTTTTAATAATAATTTCATAAAATAATTTTTTTCTAATTGAACTTTATTTATATAAGTTATGATTACATTTTTTAAAAAAGTTTAATTGCTTTTTTAAATTGTATTCTTGCAAACTGTAAGATCTTCAATACAAAAATAAATTAGAATTACTTAATTAAAAATTTTTTTCAGTATTAAGATGACCTCTTTGATTCTAAATTTTTATTAATACTTATATCAAATACATGTTTTATATAGACATATTCATATTGAACTATCAAATGAGTGTACAACTGACTACATGTGTAATTTTTCCATATTACTTATTTAAGGAGTCTGCTTAGAGGTTCTCTACTAGTTGTTATATCTAACACTCTTGCTTAGATGTTTCATTTAAACCCTCTAATCTGATTCTAGTATTAATTTTACCAGATCACAAATACAGATCTATTCACTTTTAACCATAAACTATAATCTTTAAACTATTTTTATCCTTAAGGCAAACCTATTAGAATGAGTCATATTTCTTTTTACTACTAATCTTATTTAATACTATGACTAAGACCAACACTTGCAGTCAGATTTATTCATTAAACTGCTATTACTCTTATAAAGTTTACCCAAATCTTAGTAACTATTTTTCTGACTTTTTCTTCATCATCTCCTACTAGCTGCAATTTAAAACTAACAACAGACTATCTAGACTTCCAATTCAGATAACTCAGTATAGTATACTTATATATCCTTTTTCTTTAAAGATTCTAACAGCCTGGTTGGTCATATGCTCCTCTATACATCTTGTTATTTGGTTTATCTAACAGTTCCTATGAAGGTGTTTCATGGACTTTTATCAGTTCAACAGTATCATTGAAAGTTTGTGCTATTTCTTTACTCAAAATTTCTAAGTAGGCTTTTGTCTTTTTAGTTTCTTAGTTTTCTATGTCTAGTGATTTTATTACAGGTTTGCACTAAAGCCTTATATAATACTGGTTTTTACATTTTTCTATATATGTATAACATTACACATCACATAGATGTTCCAAGTTCCCAAAATCAGATGGACTCTAACTTGATGTATTTAAAATTACAGATATATAAACTCAACTAATCAATAAGAGATAGTTACCATAACACAGTTATAATTTTTAAAATTCATCATTTATAAAAATTGAACCTTAGACCTGCCACTTGAGAATTAGCAATCTATTCATTTCACTAGGTCACCATACTCTTATTAATTAATTTTAATATACATAACAATATAATTATTATATATAAATATGAATAATTAAATATAAAATTTATAAATTATAAATTATTTTATTGCTGATAAGATTTTAATAATTCTCTTAGTTATCAAAGTTAAAAAAGTACTGAAAACAATTCAGAAAATTCTTTTGAACAATATATAAATTTGAATGCTTTACAAAAGTTTGCATCAAATGTAATTTATGTACAATGTACCTTTATATAAGAATTTAATGAAGATGGCTTTCATAAAATGTATATCTTAAAGATGAAAGATGGTATAAAATATATTAGATGCATAGCATTCTCTGTATATTATTATCCTATATCTACTTCTTTTAAGATAGTAGGTAACTAGAGCAACCTTAAACAGTAAACACTTTTTGTAACCTCACTTGTTACTGTGTTATAACTAAGTCAGAAGGTGTTTTCAAAAAAAACTTAACAAAGAAGATTTAGGCAATTTGCAATTATAAAAGAAGCTATAATTAAAAGTATATGAGAATACTAATAACTGTTTAGTTTGGGTAGTATAAAGTAGTAGTTTATTAGTAAAAAAGGATAAAAACTCAATATTGAATTTAAGTTTCATATTGACTACTTTTATATTTTTTAGTTACATAGTGTATGTAACAGCTTATATCTTTTATATGTATAAGATATTTTATAACTATTATTAATAAAATAAATAAGATATGTTTGATATATAAAATA